GTCAGCTAGTATTATATATACCTGTGATGATACATATTATATCAATTAAAACTTGTATTTTTTTTTCTCTTTTTCTTCACAATATACTGATTTAAGTTGTACCGCACTCACAGCTTTCTGCATAACCCTGGGGTTGACTGGCGGCGAATGCTTATAGCATTAAGTCCACCTTTTGTATGATTTTTTCATCGTGCAATCTATATCTATATTCTATTCTATATATATAAAAGAAAGTCGTGTTAGTTACACCACTTATAACTCAAGAACGGCTGAACCGATTTAGCTGAAAATTGTCAGGGAGGTAGTTTAGAGCCAGGAGAAGGACATAGGATACTTTTTATCCCGTTCGAAATAAAAAAAAAGTCTGCTTATTTATTGCTATTAAGGCGGAACAAAGTTCGCCGGGTCAGCTAGTATTATATATACCTGTGATGATACATATTATATCAATTAAAACTTGTATTTTTTTTCTCTTTTTCTTCACATACTGATTTAAGTTGTACCGCACTCACAGCTTTCTGCATAACCCTGGGGTTGACTGGCGGCGAATTCTTATAGCATTAAGTCCACCTTTTGTATGATTTTTTTCATCGTGCAATAAGATTATAGTTACAATATTATAATAATTATCAAACATTGTTAATTTGATTGGTCAGTTTTTATTTTTTATTTTATTTATTTATTATTCATTATTGAGCAATTACATATTTGATCCAAATAGCGTCCTAAATCCTTTTTAGGTTTGTCTAGACACTATTGTTCTCTATACAAATAAAACCGGTCAACCAACGAAACCAATCGAAAAAACCCAACGCAATGATTAACGAGCGCTCTGTGAATTTGCGTGCGAGTCTAAATGCGACTCAGTAGCCGCACGCGTTCACTTTCTACCGATCGGCGCCCGCGCTGGAATGCCCACCTTTTTCACTTTTCAATAGCATTTAAATATTGGAGCAGACGTTATTTAATGGCTGTTCTCAAGTGTGTTTAGATTCGTGATGCAGATCGCGTATCTAATCGATGTTTAGAACATTTTAATTAATGGTCTTAGTAATTTAACTGCACTTTAGGGTGATGCATCTCTTGCAAAATCGTAGGTTCTAGAGACAATTTTTTTTTGCATACATACATAACAAGGCAGTTATTTGACCACAATCGCACCTGATGTTAAGTGGGATGCAGTCTAGCATGTTATTAAGTAATTCGTTAGTGTATCATGAAACATTAACGTTAAGAACAATTTAATTAATAGCCTTACTAATTTAACTGTACCTACTTTAGTAAACATATTTGATACTTCTTTTACAAAATCATAGGTTTTAGCTTCCGCGTGGATCAATAGACAAAAATAGTGGACCATGAATCACAGTTTTACCTTTGTCAAATGTGGATGAGTGTGGGCTGAAGTTGGCTCTATCTTCAACTTTATGGCCCAACCTTATAAAGACATTCCGTGTAGAGCCCATGAGTTTATGAGGCGCCACATTATAAAACTTTTGTGAAAACCTTGGACCATCCACCACCATGATCTTGATAAAGACATGAGCCCATGACACAAAATAGAAAAGCCCATGTGTTTTGAGACAACTTATGTGATAACCTTGGACCCCCTACTGCCACAGCCATGATCTTGACAAAGACATTAACACTTCTTATAGGCAAACTATTAGTTTACGAATTAGTTAATAAATTCAAACTTTAATCCACTTAAATTTTATTAAGTCAATAAACCTTTACAATAAAGATAAGCCTTCAAAACTTCGCTGACTATTTGATAGCAGCAGTTTCTTAACAATTTATATAGGTTACTTTTATTTATCTATCTATCTATATTTATAAAAGCGATAGGTCACTGACTGATTGACTGACTGACTCACTCACTCATCACGAAATCTCAGAAACTACAAGTGCTAAGAGTCTCAAATTTTGCATGGGGGTTCCTTTTAGAACGTAGGTGGTGGTGCTCACTAAGAACGGATTTTATGAAACTTCATCCCTAAGGGGATAAAACGGGATCCACGCGTACGAAGTGGCGGGCGGCCGCTAATGTGGAATATTTTGTAAAATTGTAATCAGTTGAAAAATTACAAGCAAATGGATGTTCTTTTTAATTTGTACATTTGAATGATTCAATGTGTCAAGCTGAATGAAACGGACACTTCCCATTCTTTCATCATCATAGGAAGCTCAGCTATAGTATTACGTTAATAATAACATTTTCGATGGTAATATTAAATCACCATTGATTAACAAAACGCATAAACAGTAGTTTGCTCGAGTTACGATGCAAATCGGACACGTCCCAGTTTATGGAGCTAAGCGTTGCGTATCACGGCTAGATTGGTTGCGTTGATCGATTTCAGCTGTTCGGTTAGTAGTACAATCATTTGGGCAATATTATATTCTCCAGTTTTGAGACAAAATAAATACTCCTACTTTTCTTGCGGATGACGTAAAAGCTGAATAAAGAACAAATGCGATCATCGACCGAAGACGTAGCGCTTACAGGCCTCCCACTAGGTGGACCGACGATCTGGTGAAGGTCGCGGAAGGTGCCTAGATCCGAGCGGCGCAGGACGGGTCTTTGTGGAAATCCTTAAGGGCCTTTGTCCAGCAGTGGACGTCATTTGGCTGAAACGATGCGATCATCAGGCCTCTTTATCCCGTCTTGCCAGCGTCAGGAGTGTAGACCAAATGCTCTATCTCTCTCTGACAAATTAGAGATAGCTCATGCTCCTGCATATAAGATCAAATGAAGTGATGATGAAGAAAAAAATTAAGGACCAACGGATTTTTTTTTTTGTTAAAAATTCAACCCCTAACGGGGTAATTTTAAGTAGTAAATTATTTTGAGAATTTTAAATAGCTTTACCGGCATGGGAACTCGGTCACTAAGACATTAGCGCAATACTTGTTTAATTTCGTTTATATTGAACAACAAATCAAAGCAAAACTAAAGAACACGACTTTCGTTTACTCACCGAATTATAAAATTTAATAGGAATTTATTATTTACAATATTATCCATTCTAATAATTTATTTATTGTTACTTAACATACCGTTAATAATACTAATGATTATGACATAATTCATGCAATTTGGGTCTGGCTTCGATAAAGAGTTCACTTAAAAATTTTGATTTCAATATGTACAGTTAGAATGTTCATAAGTGACAAAATATTGGTCTAAACGGAATAAAATATTTATATTTTAATTTGATTTTGAGTCAAATAGTTCGTGACACCCAAAGTAACTAAAAATTTCGCTACAGATCTTTGTTACAATAAGGTTGTGTTGTCAACTTTTTAGCCACTTTGGGTTAACTATTTGACACTGACACCAAGTGAATGAACTTCGCTCTTCGCAAGTATGAAAAATGATGACTGGACCCACACCTAACTAAATACCAATTTATTACTATAATCTAACAAATTATTTTACAATTACAGCAGACATTATTCAAAGTTATGTTTTTAGTTTTGGTACCAAATAGTTTTTCTTTCTTTATTTGAAATGGTGAAATCAAAGAGTCATCGTTCAACGCAGTAGCAAATGGATATGATCAAATAGTTATTAATCAAACTTCACCATCGTAGCTTGGATTAACTGCAACACGTAACATTTTCTTGACGAGCAAAAAACATAGTTTCGTATTAGTTATAATAAGATAATAAATAGTAGGAACCAAGTTAAGATGCGTGGGATTTAACTACCATACATAATAGAAGAGCTCATCGCTTTATGTCACACATATTTATATGTATGTACATAGCTAGTAGATAGTTCCTGCCCACGGTTTTGCCCACATGGTTTTCTTTTTATCTCAAATAACTTTGTGTGTGATCAAACAGTGTCAACTGGTCTAAAACACCTTACATAGGCAACGATAGTAAGTAGTAAGTACTTATAATACAAATTTTATTTCACTATCTTTTTGTTCAACCCAAAGGTAAACGGGTTGAAAATGCTTTAGTGCGTTCGCCTTATGTACAAATTAATTCGGCACTAAAGTTTTAAATAAATAAATACATTTTTAAGAAACTATTTATACGATGCGATAAAAAAGCAAGAATAGAGCTTGTTATGTCAAATGTTGTTCTGCGCTTAAGGGTTAAAATAATCACAAAGTAAGCCTTACGATATTAATAAAGTTGGTAAGTAATTGTTATCTTTATTCAAAAACTTAAAGGTCTTGTAAGTTAATTTCAGACAGGTTTTTCTGTTCTGTCACTTCCGTAGTACAACATAAAGTTGTAGCTTGACTAATTAGGATATTGGTAGAGACAATTCTATCACCCAATTGTTACTTAATTTAAATTATGAACAGAAACTTGCTGAAAACTATTTCGCTAAAATTAGCAGCAGCAGTTGCCTCTCTTCTCTTTTATTTTTGTTTGTCAGTCTAGTCAGCAGAAAAACTAAGATTCGACCTTGATAGGCTGAAAGTAGTTTGATGAAAACAAAATATAGCCAAATTAAAAACTGGTGGGTTAGATTTATGTACAGTAGTTTTGACGTGTAGAGTTAAGATGTGTTTGTCTAAAAAAAAGAAAACAAACGGACCGCTTAGAAGATTAAGAACATTATAATTCTCCGTAACGGTTATGATGGTTAATTATGCAACTAATTAAATAAAGTTAATACTAAATTACAATCTAAGCAAGCAACTTTGCCGCAGTAAAAAGATTGACATACGCTGCCGTGGATTAGGTAATTTAGGCTTAATTAAGAGAAAAATATTAACTTTTCCTTTCGCGACAAATCGAGTGAAATGTAACAACTTAAGTGCCGGCTGGTAGCCAGCAGTTTTACTTTCATAAAACGAGTTTTACACTCCGGACCAGATGCAGGCAACGAAATAACGTTCCAAATAATTTCTTACAGCAAAATTAAATCAGTTTAATCGTGACTGCGGCCACCACTCATGGCCGACTATTTAGAAAGCGAAAGAGACTTAATCATTGAGTAACGGCCACTCAAATGCGAAATATGCACTCACCTTCGAAATAAATTCGAGTTCACAAAATTCTTTAACACTAATAAGACTTATGTGGAATCCACCATTCTGTCACAAGCTGTAGCAATCACCTTATCACCTCACTGTAACAATGGTCACATCACGCACTTCCCGCCAAAATTCGTCGAGACGTTCGAAAATCGCGATGTCAACGGCCGCGTTGCAACTGTGACACTGGCCAGTTGAGTGTTTCAGTTGCGCTTGAGTGCGTTCGATTGAGAAAAATAAATTATTTAACAGTTTCGAACGTAAGCTCGAGGTTTGAATTGTGGCGGGTGTGCGTCGCGCGTGCGTGGAACGGTGCGCGGATGGCGACTGGCGCGGGCTCCGTCTGCAGCGTGCGTCTACACCCACCCTAAGCACGCATGCACACGCTCCGGAGGCTGGTCTTCAGGACTGCCTTTGTTCGATCATTGTCTGCACTTTAGTCTATAGTCTATGGCCTAGTGTCTATTGTGGCTAAGATTGGCTCATAAAGCAAGTTGAGCAAGTTTGAATTCGAAAAAAAGAATGTCTGAAAAAGACAGTGTTTCAGGGACACGGTAAAATTATGTCAAAATTCTTCTTCTTCTTTTTCTTGTTTAATGGATTGGAAATTTTTTCTTCTACAATTTTTTTTTGCAAAATGGCATAAATTTATTACTGACGGGATTGCTACAATTATAATTATGTGACCATGAAAGTTTAAAACAATATAAGTAAATGGCATAAAGTCGGGATAAAGGGTTGTGACTTTAATAGAGCAACCCACACTATAGAGAAAAAGCTGTTTTGGCTAGACGAGTTATCCAATCCAGAAGCTGTCGACCCTGAAACCCTGATTGACCATCGGCTCTACACTAAATGCTACTAGTTCATTGTCACATCAGGTGGCTAAAGTATTATTTTCAAGGAAAATATACAAAATTACAGTGTGCAACATTCTTAAGCTATACTCGGCCTTTGCGTCAAACAAAAGGCTTTCAGCTGCAACTTTTCAGTCGATTTCAAAACGAAAGCAGTGCATATTTAATTTTAAGTGTCTTACATCACCTCTGCTTTGCTATTTTAGTTCTAATTCCCCCAAAACTAGAGGATAGATTTCAAAACATTGTGACATTTAACCGGCACTAATTCGAGGATAATCTTAGTAAATAACATGTGTTTGGTTTTCTAGGCTACATAGCAACTGGTCTATAGTATTCTTCCGGATTTAGTTCTCAAAAGTTGGTCTACTTTTAGTGTTATTGTAAAATCTTCAAACGACCAATTTGTGTAAGCATTTGCGATATGTCATGACAGCTGAAAATGGAAATTGATTATTGTCGCCTGTAACTTGTGGACCGATCTGACCTCGTTCGGTTTTGTGAAGAATCTATAAAAGGAACATAGATGCTAAACATTATGAAACTAACAAATGTATGTGGGAAAAATGCAGACATTCAAACGCATAATACAACTGCTACTTGGCTAAAACGAATTAATTTATTTATTTATTTAAACTTTTTCACATATGTACCTACCATTCAACCACAGGTCAAGCAGAGAAATTAAGGCGGTGCAAAAAATTAACAATTAATAAATTACATGCTCTTAAAAGTGGCGTGCTTTTGACTTCTATTCTAATAATATTCTTGTGTTTGGCGAATACAGTTTGTATGGGAAACTACAAACACCATTCTAAATATTCTCGCGTGTCACAAACTTAATGCTAAAAATCTCGCAACAGGTAAAAATCAAGTTCAAAGCATTTGGGAATTGGAAAATATTCATCCTTTTTCATTAATTTCATTCATCAAATTGCTCTTTATATAAGTAATAGCTTCCTACTAATAGCTCTATCTATCACTGTCCAAGTTGTTTCATAATATTCTTGTGATAAACACAATACCTAGTTCATATCTACATCTTTTCTATAAACTACAGGCAAAGGAATCCCGCTCATTCTGCTTATGCAATTTGAGCTTCAAAGTTTGAGCTAGAGGTCCTTAACAGCCATCTGTGATAAAAATGGAAAAGAAAGAAGAAAAAAAGACAAAAATATTTTTTTTTTATCCACAACGAGGAAGCTCTTGGCCTGTATCTCACCTGATGGTAAGTGACGATCAGGCTGAAGGTGGAAGAGAGTTTTATTTGACAACTAAATAATACACATCAAAACAATGGAGAAAAGAGCTGAAAAGAACAGAGCTCACCCACTCAGTACTATCTTGACTTGTTACTGCCAAGTGCCAAGACACTGGTTTTCAGTGGGTACCTTCCTTGTACACAGGGGCAAAAATAATCTTACAATAACAAAGCTGACCTGAGACTTAAAAGTTATTTAAAGTTAATGTTACTTCCCAAAAACTACATCAACAAAGATACAAACCTCGTAAACGCATCTCTAGCTTTGTGGGATGCATTTATATTTTATCGATTCTTCTACTGCACCTGCGCGTACCTTCTGTCCAAATTGCATCCTACAACACTCACGTCCTCTTAAAATGTATTTGAAAAACTGTAAAAATGTGATTAAACAGGTGTAAAACGTCTAAACAAAAGTGTAGTAACTGTAGTTAAAAGTTTCAGTTTTATGGTGAATGAAAATTAGAAACAAATGCAGTTAATGTTTGAAAAAACATAATTGTAATTAACAAATTAAAAAGGATGTCCCGTTATAAAAGTGGTAAGTGGCAAGATTAATACACAAGATAATAAAAAAGTTCCACTTTCATTTGGCATCGTGTAAAAACTTTCGTTTGGTATTGTAGCTTTTTAAGCAAGCAGGTGTTTTCACCTTGTAGTTGCTTTTCAATTAAGAAATTATAGAAACACAATTCTTTTACATATAAATAAGTATGTGTAAAGTGAATAAGTACGTGTATGGAAAACCAAATGTTGTAATCAAAAACTAGTTAACAGTTTGGTTGATAAATAAATAGCATCAACGTTGAAAAAAATCTCTTCATTCATTATCACGACTCAATTAAAATCTAAACAAAAATTCTCTATTCTTCATTATTCATCAAACTTTTCGAGTATCTATCATAGACAATTATTACGAACCTAACAGACCATAAACAACATCCCAAAGTATTTAGTGACATAGACAAAAATGTAGCACTGGACATCACTCGACAAATAGGCGCCCCTTAATATCCACGCACTTAGCTTTTATTGATTTGCGCGTCCCGCCTCCAGACGTTTACACATTGCGTTAAAAATCAACAGTTGCCTTATCGTGGTCTCCCGAGAACGTGGCAGCGTCTAGCGAAATATAAATACAAGATTCAAAGTCAAGACTACCTTATGTTAAAGTAACATAACGCAGAAGATAAAAACAAGCAGGTAACAAAGATTATTTCATTAATTATATCATCTAATTCTCTCGGATCTCATTACTTAAGATGATTTATTGGAACATACGGAAAATGAGATGTATGTTATCATATTGTAATACAATATGTATCCTTATTGTTAGGGGCGACACATTAAAATAATAAGCATTATGAATATAGAATGGCTATAGGTAGTATTTAAAGCTACGAGTAAAGCCAATTATTTCAGTTTTTGCTTGGGTTCAGTTCCATATAATTAAGTAACCACTAAAACCCTCTGTAACTCATAAAATAATCTTCCAATTAGTTTCTAAATATAAATGTAGTACTTACGAGTAATACAAACAACATGCCATAATATCATAAAATATGTTCATAAACAATCCCAACAAATAGACCCATAAACGTACTGACCACAGACAAAGTTATCTGCCCCATCTCTATTCTCTACGGACTTTTAAAAGGTATCGATTTGCGTCCCCGCTCCCTTACCCGTTGGGTAGGGAGAGTTTGCCCTTGAGACTTGATTTATAGCATCCAGGTGGCAAACGCGTGCTCGGAATCGCGAAAGCCAAAAGTTGGCGGTTTGCCAATAGCCTTGACCTGTTTTACAGAGAGCGAGTGGAGAATGGATCTACCCCCTCGGGAATGGAAAGTTTTCGCATCGACGCCGATTAAAATGTTCTACGGCGGAGGCGAAAAATCAAGGGACTTGGGAATCAAGGTACGTTTACCGATGTTTAGACAAGTATTTTCAATAAATCCATTTTTTTGTTAACTACAAATATCTTTTTGTGCATGGAAAACTGATCTAATGTTAAAACTGATCTGATTTTATCCCTAACATCAAGTTTTCCTACTTCAATGTATGAACTTGAAAGCCATTTTGCCTTAACATAACAGTGTTACCTTAATTTGTTTCGTTTTTTAAAGCTTTTTGATTATCTTATAAAGAGAACTACACTCGCGAGCAAAACTATGGAATCACTTACATGAAGTTGTTTCCACGCGAACTTGTGTACTAACGAATTTGTTAGTAACTAAAAAAGTGGCACCATTTTAAAGATTAAACTTTTATCTTTAAATTGATACCAAATTCATTTAAATCACACCAGCATTTAAAAAGATATCCCGGCTGATGTGAAGAAGTAACGAAAAAGACATGTATGAACTGTTTGATACGTCGCGAGTTGCGGCCTATTTACCCCCTATAAAAACACGCGTTTTTAGATTTTTGCTTTCACACGTTGATTCATACACATCTCCGCTTCTTTTGACACTTAACCTGGGATTCTACACCTTCAGAAGCAGCACAAATCGTTGCACTATTGCAAGAAAGGCTCAGCCAGCGGGCTGTCGCACGTCAGCGCCACATAAGCCAGTCCTGGGTTTCGAAAGTTTCAAGACGCTTTCGGGAGACTAGTGGCTTTATCCCGAGACCAAGTTCTGAACAGCGCCGGTGCACATCGCAGAGGGAAGACCGTTTTTTCATGTCAACCTCTCTATGAAATCGTCATTTGACTGGAATCGATGTCCATCAAGAGCTCAGAAATGTTCGTAAGATAGCTGTTAGCGAGTGGACAGTTCGTCTAAGATATAAGCAATAGAATTTGACTCCAAAAAGGCCTGCCACAGGCTCGAAACTGACGGCAGGTCACCGATAAGCACCCTTTCAATTTGCTCATACACTTTTTTTTTACTAACAAATTCGTTAGTACACAAGATCGCGTGGAAACAACTTTATGTAAGTGATTCCATACTTTTGCTCGCGAGTGTAGTTACCCGTACTTAAACTGTAGGTACCTTAAATTTACTTTTTTTTATAAATAAGTAGATTAACGGTAGGTAATTTAGAAAAAGCTTGTTATACAAACAGAAATAGTGGAAAATGTGTGCTTTCTTTCACAATACAATAATTTGCTACTTCTACTAGTAGAACCCTGCAGTAAGACCTCGGGCATCAAATGAGAAAAAGTAGAGCGCCATATTGTAGTTTGGAACCAGAGTGCGCAGATAAACCTTAAAGCCATGTCTATAAATGC